TATTATCATTATTATTATTATCATTATTTAACAATTATTCGCCTTAGGTGAAGTGATTATCGGGGGCTCGCGGGACTCGCGTTTCGGTAAATATTCCCCGATAATCACTGAGCCTGAGGCAAATAATTGTTCTAGTATGAATACCCAGGTGATTCTTTCAAAAAGAAAAAATAAAGATAAGATAARAGGCATTTTTTCCGGTAACAGCAACAAAGCGGCTGGCCGCCATTTTGAATTTTCTCTGGAGATGATTATCGTGTGATAGTGTGAGTTTCTTGACTAATCAGCCCGCGAGATTTTCTATAATCACCTGCGTATTTTTACTAATATTATTTATTATAATTAAATTTTTCAATAAATTTGCAGATCGTATTTTATCGCGTATTATAAGGCACTCGGCTAAGCCTCTTGGTTTAAACTCGATGAAACACTCCTGCTCATTTATTGAACAGTACATAATGTTGACTCGCTCTCATTCTCTGCTGTCAACCAAAACTTGCCTTAACTTTTTTTTCATTGGCGCCAATATAAACCCAACTGGTAGCTTCGAGTTTGTGAAATATTTTTTAAATGCTGTTAATATCTGGATAATATTGCGATTTTATTTGTTATGCTTTACCAGTCAAATCTCTTACCTCTTTTTGTTTCGCATATTGCACCTCTGGGGTACTTCTTGTAATAGTCGCCAAAGCCACCTGCAGGAGGCTGTCGTGATATGTAAACGATGTCTTCTTTCCAGAAATAATTACTTGGTTCATCATTATACCAATGGTTAATTGTAAGAGGCTTCCCACTGAACCATTCCCATAGTGAGCCTTTAACTGAGAGACCAATGTACCACTCTTTATGATGTTGAAGGTTGAGTTTCTTGATCTTTTCCTGTAAATAGACCAGTTCTTCTTTTGTTTCTATGGAAACCAAGTCACCATTATTACTTTTATTACATTCGTCTCGGGCATCCTTCCATGTTCTTGTTCTGTCTGTGTTAAACGTGTAACACGAGTCTCCTAAGCAATTTTCTCCGGCCGGTACTTAAAGCAGAAAAATCATACAATACTTATAAGTTATTGCAATTTTGCGCCGCTTATACCGGTTTATGCTGGCTGCAATTTGAGAGAAAATATATCCCGTATTGGCCTTATTAGTCACGAATAATTTTTGTCTCGCGATTTTCCTAACGCGATTAGGCCTTTTGCAACAAACAGTCACGCGTCTAATATATGACTTTGATAACGAATAAATCCAGCTCAAGTTCCCTTGGGAAAGGCTCTGCTGGATGGCAAACGAACATTAAATTGCTTYGTATCTTGAAATCGAAAGTAAGTTTATAAGGGGAAAAAAGTATTGTTGAAAAGGTTTTGGATGCGACGTTAGTAATCCAGCGAAAAAATAAAATAAAGGAAGTCCAATTTTTTTGAAAGCCATCCAGTGACAATCATGTGACAATATATTGCAAAAGGCCTATTTCATAGCCCATAATATGAGTTTTTGTCACATACCAACTGTCAAACTTCAATTTATCGTACTCTGACAGATTGATCAATATAGTATCAAGTGAACGTGARCAAGTTTCGATGTTTCCCCGGCGGAGGCCCTCAGCGGGCAACATTATGTTATTGACCGGTAATGACTGCACCGAAAGKGATTTTCACGGAAATGTAAGTTTTATCCAAAATCTTTAATCAAATAATCACATCGTGCACTTTAACGTTTGGAATATAACTAATGACACTTAATGACTGGAACCTTGGCAAAGCAGTATGTTTTGTGGTTCCTCGACGGAGATGTTTCCCTCTGCTTAGTAYACCTATTTAAAGCGTTCTAAGCATGACATACCTCCACATATTATAGAAGAAGGAGAATCACAACCAACAGAGGAATCTTGAAGCTCGTTTTCATTTTCTTCCTTTGTAGCACCAGCCCTGCCAAATAAAATAATAATAACAATAGATAATAGATAATAATGAATAATTGGATATTGGGAATTATCAGCGGATTCGGCAGAGTCGCTCTTCCTCCATCGGGATGAAGGAAGAGTATGATGATTTCCAAGAATAGCGAGGGCGGATCCAGGGTTTTTTGAAGGGGAGGGGGGGGGGGTATATTTTGTGGGCAAAGGAATCCCAGTCGCATTTTTACCACAGGAAGCCCGTTTGACCTCAGGAATGACAGAGGGGTCGCGACCCCCCCGACCATTCCCCTGGATCCGCCCTTGAATAGATTGATAGGTACATGTTATTTACTGAGAGAAACCGTAATTACAGAAAAAACTATTGTACTCTCATATGAAATTAAATCGTTATAAAGATAAAAACAGTTACATTGCTATGCGCGAAAACTCCTAGGCTAGGAACTATCATTCGTGGTCACTGAATGGAACTGTAAAATGGGGTATTTGCCATCGTAACGAAGTAGGTTTTGGTGGACGTCAATCAATGCGCTTCCATGACATTCCATAGACACGTGCCCTTAAAAGCTTTGTGTTTTCCGTCAATGCTGGGAAACATTTTGATTGGCGTCCACTAAATCTCTATTATGTATCGAAAAAGTTTTTCACAATTTTGCTTGTGTGATTGAAAAGCGCTGTAACATGAAGGCTGAGAATGGTGGAATAACRACAAGTATATACGTCATATTTTACTTGCCAGAAGAGAAAAATGAAAAATGAGCAAAAGAAAAGATAGTTTCTTGAAGCCATTTTTCGCCTGTGAATAACGTGGTTTTCAAAGAGACTTGATTGTTGATAACCTGAAAAACATAGAAAATGTTTGAAAACCAGATTAGAGAAATCTCTTATCTCATCTTAACTTCTTACTTTTGGAACTAGAGTTAACTTAACGTTAGAACTTTATAATTATTATTTGTTGAGTTAAATAGTAGGAAAATCAAAGCATATAAATATCATTTATTTATATAAATATAGATAGATTAATAGATAATTCCAACAAAAGAAACGGAAGAAAGGAAACCTTAAATAGATAATAATAATAAATTAAATTAAATTAAAYTAATGGCAATTAAGAGTGGCTGCACAAAATGGAGCTTCTTCCACTGGATTCCAATTGGAATTGAAAAGTCGATTTTAGCATAGAGTGGAAACCTGAAATGTTGGTTTGCCGAATTTAAGAACGAAAGAGGGCGAAGCGTTGTTGGTCGTGAACATCATCGCTGCAGGAGYTCGAGACTGGTTGTTCTGATTTGAACAACGAAAGAGAGAAAAGAGTCTAGGTTCGTAAACAYCGTCGCTTCCCGGAATTCCTTTGTCAGGGGATGCACGAGATATTATACTGAGATTGTAGGCCATACATATATTCTCGAAAGAGCAACATATTATGAACCTGAACGGCGAGAAATATACTACAACTACAACAAATAATGAATTTTTGAATTTTTTTTCCCTTGGAATATGTGTATTTTCTTATTGCGTTTCCTTAGAAGAAATATGTAAGATTTACAAATTAACAAAATAAATATTTTCTCTAAACATTTAAGACTAAATAATAGATATAGCAGAGAGTATGCAATGTTAAGAATAATTCTTCATAAACAACCGACCTACCTTTGTTACAGCGTTGACCAACTGTAATGTCTGTTCATGAAGAATAAAGGTTTTTACGTGTTTTATGAYATAGCACCTGTTGTTATTACCTCACACGTATACTATGAACATTATATCAATGTCGTCTTTTACAGGTGTCAAAATGTTGTTATTGTTAATGTTAAATATTGCTTAAAATCATAATAACTAATTGTTAATAAAGTATTTTTAAAAGGTACATTAACTCTTCATTAACAGAAAATAGTGTTTCAAATGGAAGATTCTTGAAGATCCCAGAAATGATTTGAAGGAGAAGCAAAAGGGGGAAAAAGTTTTTTTGTCGGTATACCTGTTGAGTAGAAAATGYTTTGGGAAAAAAATGTTACCATTTACTGGTGGACGAACGTCGAACTTCACATGAGCCGAACCTAATTGAAACAAAGGATAGCAAGGCGGTCGTCTTATGTCGATGTTATTAGTATCGGCTCATTCGAAATTCGGTGTCTGAAATTATTCTCATTTACTTCATTAAAATGTTCATATCTATACACACTCTATGGTGATTTTTATAATCCCCACGCATTAACAACAACACAATTGCAGTTTAGGGACTAGTTTCGTCCGTTTATTAGGACCTTTTCAACCTAAAGAGTTGAATATCGCAAAAACTTGTTTTTTCCTGTCTATGAGCAGTCTGTCAGTCCACTCCACTCCACTATGTCCTCGTAATAAAGTGGACTTCTGGGCTAGCTCCCTTAGCTAAATGTTTTATAGTTTTGTCATGACACTTTGCGGGGAGGGGGAGGGGAGGAGGGAATGAGAAAAAACCGCATTTATAGGAGAGTGAAAAATAATACATACCAACGTGAGAACCTAAAAATGTGGCATTCGGTCAAAGGTGTAGAAATATTGTCACCAAATGACCTTTCTGAGCCCGGAATTATGTTGAAACGAATATGGCGTATCTACAGTTGCTCTTCTACATTTGGACTAGGTTTTTGATGTGGGAAATTGCTAAAATTTAATAGAAAAATAATATGTGTCTGAAACTCAGACTTCAAAATTTGCTTTTGGAGGTAAATCAACTCGTCACGAAGTATGAAGTAATTCAAAYAGAATCAGATATTTGCCAAATAAGTTTGAAGTCTTAGGTTTTTTAATGTGTTAGATTTTTTCTTATTCACCTGTTGCTTTATTGAATTTTAAGATTCACGACGTGTTATTTGTTAGATATAGCTTTATAGGGTGTTGTTGAAAGTGCGTTAATCTTAACATACCCACGTAAATATCCAGCACAAACTTAATGTACGAGTACACGAACCAATATCACTTGAACAAAAAAAAAAGATAAAATTAAAAAATTAACCCAACCATAAAGCAGACAAACCAGTATTATTTTAACAATCTCTCGTTCACAGGGTTATCTATAGAGCGTTTTYACTCACGTGAGAAGGCAGCCATAAACAATAGAAACTTTCTGCACAGTATTTGCATAAAAATAGAGTTCAATTCCCGGAGGATGGAAAATGTATTGTTTTGGTACCCCATAATGGCCGCTGTGACGTCACGTGAAAACGCTCCTATAGCATCTCAGTTTTTTAGATATCTAGGCTTTGTTGTTTGCCCCTGATTGGTTCAAGTTTGATTCCTTTGTTCTCCTTTTATGTCGTGATCGTGTCTTCAATAGTCCAGTTTCGAGTTCCAAATTACCGCTGTGTTTCTTGATTACCGACGCATTTACTCAGGCTTAGCCTCGACTCAGTGTCTAATTACTCGCAAATACCAACAGTAAATTAAAGAATGCACCACTTCAACAATACAAACACTTTGACGGACCTTCACTGGAACACGTGAATATTCTACACAAAATCGAGGCTAAGCCTGAGTATATGAGTCTAAGATCAATAAACACAGCGGTAATTTGGAAATCGAAAAGCGTCTGTTGGTCCCCGTGAATTTGCACCAATAGTAAAAACGTTGATAAAGAACCTTATCTTTCACGCTTGTAAAAGACTACCTTTACAGRAAAAAAAAAGAAATATTGGTTCCAAGTAATAGGACGTGAAGGCCTTTTACAACTAGCGAAAGCAGATATTTTGTTACAAACAATAACCACATTAGCCTGTTTCCGTCCAGTTAGTGGCAAATTGCTGTGAATTAACGAGAAGATTGATAATTGAAATATTGGTTTCAGGTAATAGAACGCGAAGGCCCTTTATGACCAACTAAAAAAAATACATGTTTTCTTTGTCTTTTTTTAGATAATACCCAAACTTGGCCTTTTTCTGTTAGTTTTTAATTCGCAGCAGTTTGTCACTAACAGGACTGAAACATGCTAATGTAAGTATTGTTTGTAACAAACATCTGCTGCCCTCAGTTTGTTATATAAAAGGCCTTCACGTCGATGGATCGCCGTTAAATACATGTAAGAAAAGCCCCCGAAAATGAACGTAACACTCGAACTCGTAAAAGTAAACTGTCCAGAAATCGCAAAATTACACATCGAAAAGTTAATAGCCATGGTCCATTTGGTAGAGATAACTGCTATTGTCAACCTGTTTCTCAATGCTTTTCTAATGTTGACTGCAACATTGGGCAATGGAATCATTATATTTGCAATCTTGAGATCACCGCAGCTGCAAACGCCTTCTTACTTACTGATAACAAGTTCAGCCTTCACAGATCTTTTGGTTGGCCTGACATTTCATCCTTTACAAATCGTTCTTAACGTTGATTACCTACAAAGCAACATCGAAAGAATGTGTGAAATGGCTAATTTACTAACGTTGGTCATTGTTTATTTTGGTTTTCTTTCGATGTTTATGGTAACAGCTATAAGCATAGACAGATACTTGGCACTGACTCTAAGAAATCGATACTCCATTATTGTCACCAAGAAAAGAGTTCGTGTATTGATTGTAGCCTCTTGGATTTTGCCGAGTCTCTTGTCATTTTTAACGGCAATCAAACAATTTGCTGCAACTTTACTGGTTATTGATACTTCTCTATCCGTGGTCTTCCTCTCAATAACCTTTGTTTTCTACGGCAAATCTTTCAGAGCTCTTCATCTTTACACGGCGCAAGTTCACGCCCAACAACCAAACCCATCGAATGGTAGTTTTAGTGTTGTTAGATACAAAAACATTTTAAGGACAATGTTTTTGGTGTTAGGATGCCTCGTCTTGTGCTCTTTACCGTTAGTGGGCACTCTTATAGCGAGGAGTACTAATGAAAGCACTAACGAAACAGTATTTGCTTACTTTGTATCGCTGACAGTTGTTAGTCTTAATTCCAGTATTAATCCAATCATTTATTTAATAAGGTTTACGGATATCCGTACTAAGTGTATTCAACTAATTTGGAATTGATTCTAGTGCATGTTTGCAGGTTGTTTTCTGTTATTATGGCAATTTTTTTCCTTTGTATTCTTATGTTACAACATAGTTAATAACTATGGTTACAACAATGCGGGCTTCCGCCTGAAATTTTGCTGATTAGCTTTGAATTTTGAATATTATATTATTCTCATTTTATTCTTATAAATATCAATTGCCCGCAAACTTTACCATGCGCAATACGTTCAAATTAAGCTTTATAGTTTCAAAAATGTAATTCACTTCAATTCAATCATTGTCCGCAAGGCTTCTTCTATTAGCAATACCTTTAAAGCAGGGCTTTTCAGTCTACGATTTTACTTCAAATAAATATAGAAACTGCCCGCAAAGCTTTCATGATCAACGCAGGGCTTTTCAATTTCAAAAAATAAAATAAAATCTCTTCAATTCAATCATTGCCAGCAAAGCTCCCATGACCAATACGCTCAAAGCAGGGGTTTTCAATCTACAATTTTACTTCAAATAAATATAGAAAGTGCCCGCAAAGCTTCAGTGAGCTTTTCATTTTCAAAAAATCAATTTATTCTAAGTCAACTAGTACCCGCAAAGCTCCCATGAGCATTCAATACGTTCAAAGCAGGGGTTTTCAATCTAACAAATATCATTCTATATTCTCACTATCACATTATTAAATTCAGTTTTGTACAATTCTGCCAACCATCRCAAATTAGGCTTTTATTTAGGCTCTTTTCGTTCTTTAGATTATGTTTATAATGTTAGTGCTATATAAGTTATTATTTATTATTATAACTATAGAGTACAAACACTAAAAGTGTGCAACACTTTGCATTATTTAGTAGTAAATAGTGCTAATTAAACAATAGAAAACAGTAGGATTAGCATAATTTAGCAGTATTTAGTGGTATTTATGTTACACACTTATAGTCTGTACTCTATTAACATTTCACTTAGATATAGAAACTGCCCACAAAGCTAGCCATGAGCAATACGTTCAAAACAGGACATAAGACGACCAGAAAACAAAATTACGTAGCTGTCTGCGAAATTACCAAGCACAACTTCAACATGATTATGAAGCAAGGGATCACGTGTTACACAACAGACCAATCATGTATGCTCAAAAACACTATATTTAGCTTTTTAAACAGTAATAAACATCAATGGCAACACACACGAAACCCATGCCATTCGCCGATACTATTTGGCCGTAGAAGGCTTTTGAGCGCATATGAGCATATGCATAGGAAATATGCGCGTTATAAGTAATAAATAAATTATTATTATTTATGAAAGCTGTTTTTCGTGCACGTGTAACTGCAGCTCATTATTATTAATCGTTTTCGAGCGACGTCATCACCGGCGAGCTGCGGCGTCATCAGAAGCAAACGTCGTTCGACGGTGAGAAGACCGTTTTCTAATCAGTAGTTTTTATTAGAACGAGTAGGCTTCCCAATAAAAGATGGATTTGAATTCATTACACTTTAGGAGACCTGCCTGGGAGCAACGCGATGGATCGTTAGAACGTCTTCTTTTTCGTTTTCATTATTATTTTGGTCTGTGTTCTCATTCTTATTCTTATTCCATTTTATACGAAACTTTTAGACAAAAAAATTATATTCTTTTGACTGTACTTTAACAGTAAAGTTCCTTCTAACTTGCTTGAAGGAGAAAGAGCATGCATGTAAATAGTTCAATAATTTATGGTTTGGTTGGCCAGTTGTAGGATCTGTACTGAACCTGAAATTACTCAAAAAGCATTCCAGTATTTTGTCGAGTATATTTAAATCTCTCGAAGAATTTAGAAATAGATATCGCTCAAGTACAATTTATTTTTCAGTTTAGAAAATATATTAATTTTAGCTGTTTACAATGGAATTTTTTTCTATTCCTCACTCAAATCTATTTTAGGATACTGGTCTGCAGTAATTGCTAGCTAGAGAAGACAAATTTGAATTATGACATATTCTCAATGCTGAAGTGGAACTTGCAGAGTTTCTCCTTTGGCCGTTACTGTGCAAACATAAATAAGATCATTGGTTTGAAAAAATAACKTGAAAATACTTGTGAAAAATATCAGCCTAGACTATGAAAACAACGTCTGTCTTCTTCTCTAAGTAGCTACATTTAAGAGGACGCGTTGGGTAGTTGGGGAGACCCATCGTCCATCTTTTTATACTGAACTATTTTACTTCCAAATATACATTTGAAATAACCTTCAAAAATATTTTTCTTTGTCCTCACTATATATTCAGAGACAAAGCTGTAAATGCGCAAATATTCAACAATAACAAGCAAACTGATGTTACTTCTCGATTGCACGTGCCACTAATTCTCTTGAGAATATTTTTTGTTTGAGCTCGGTGAGTTTTATCCATATTCATGTCAATCCCCTTGAGTGCAATGTCTCTTCTAGATTGCACGTGCCACTAATTCTCTTGAGAATATTTTTTTGTTTGAGCTCGAGTTTTATCCATATTCATGTGCCATTCCCTTGAGAAGGAAAGACTCTTTTTAGACTGTTAAAACAACGTCTGTCTTCATGGCCTATGTAATATTAACTACATTTAAGAGGTTGTGTTGGGTAGTTAGGGCTACCATCGCTATGCTATACATTTGGAATGACCTTTCAAATAGTCTTATTCGTCCTTACTAGATATTCAGTGGCTAGTTGTAAATGCACAATTCGCCCCGGTGTGACAATAACAAGCAAAATGAGTACAAAGGTTTACGACTACACGTGTCATTCCCTTGACAATATGATTATTTGTTTAAGCTCAAGTTTCCATATTCATGTCTCATTTCCTTGGTAATATGATTATATTTTCTTTAATAATAAATATCTTCTCATGTTTTCGTGTTAAATAACATTGGAGATTGAATTGGTAGAAACTCAATCTTTGCAAAAGAAATATCCAAAATATATATTATCTTGATTGTCGTTATTTAGGAGAAAATCTAGTTTTAAAAATAGTTGAATCTAGATATAAGGAGATGGTGTCTGTCACTTAGGGAAATTTAGACACAGACCTACTACTTGTCGTGCATTAGTGGCTATATAACAGAGCACAGATACAGAATATTCAACACATCTGCTTGGACCGGCGGTTGGACAAACTTGAAAGGTTAGTATTATATCTGTTTTAGGAAGACCTCTCTTACTAATATACCTAAACGTTTTTYCCCCCTGTATTTCACGATCAAAATATCCGCTAGACTCATACTCAGTGTAGAAAAAGGGATGAAAATGCAATTCTAATCACAACTATTGCAAGTTAAGTCTGTCTTTCGACATTTGGGCTTTAATTATTTAGTTTTCGTTTTTTGTTTTTGTTTTTGTTTTTTTAATTTTTTACAAATAAATGTATCAAGTGATTTTTAGTGTTGAGTAAATGACGATGTATGTAGAGAGTTCCTATCGGAATATCAAGAAAAAACGTTTACCAGGATTATAGCAAGTGGCACTTAAAGATAATTCCACTAGCTGAAAATTCCAGTTGAATAAAAGTTTGTAAGATTTTTAATTCGTCCAAATAGCACTTAATTAAAGGTAGTAAAAGCAGAAATTAGTTAGAATTGAAGGATGCACAACCGCTAAACAAAGAAATGGTCCTTGCTTGAAAAGACACGTGGCCTGAAATGGGGAAAACATTACATACCTTAATGGAAAAAATGTCGAAACCAAAAGCCAAAATAAATTATGAATAAAGGCCACTATATTTAATGAGGATGACACCTGACAGTAATTCGACAGGCGAACTCGTGGTCCTCTTAAAACATCTCTAGTTGGATAAGGACGGGACTGCCAATAAAGGAGTCATCGGAAGCAATTGAAAGTCTCACCATTTGCAGATTGAATTTTAAAACTAATTTAGCTGTTGTATCACAGCTAAGTATAATCACAACAGAGCTACGCTTTGTTCTCTCTCTCC